ACACGATACTTCTAAAAAGTGTAACTCCTACTTTCAAAATTTGTTGGTTGGGTCGGCCCACTGACAAAACCATTTATGGCACGCAGGCTGGGAGTTAGGGCACTTAGACAGGGACATGGAAGGAGCAGTGAGTTGTTGCTGAGCTAGCCAGTGAAAGCAGAGCAAAAACAAATAGCTACACATGGCCGATGATGGGAGGTGATCCGCAAAAAGAAAACAAATTATAACAAAAAACAAAAAAAGTGGAAAGGGCATGTGATCCAGTGAGGGCAAAAACAAGGATAAACAATTCCTTTGCGAGGTGGAGAGAGTTACAGCGCTTGAGGGGATTCAAGTCAGATCCTGAATTTGCCCAGTTCCCCCTAGACAGGTAACATAAGCTACACTTTTTTACATTGCTGGCTTGTTGATATCAAGATATTACATTACCAAGGAAAGCTGACAACTTTAGCTTTACAGATCAATCTATTGCTGAGTTATCTAATCTGTTTGTTGAGGGTTTACTGTTATGAACGGACGTAACTGAAGGCTAAAAATACAAGTCACAATAACACAACATTACTTCTTTTTAGATCAGAATCAGAATGCTTTTATTTGTCATTATACAAGATACAATGACATTTAAAAACTCTCATAAACAGTGCAGTTAAAAATAGTAAGACTCTGTATTTACAAAAGTATGAAAGTGCAAAAGTGTCAATATTAAATAAAGTGTCAATATATAAGTGTCATAATAAAAAGGAAAATGAGTATAAATATGAGTATAAATACCGGCAGCATATTATATTTTATGGACATGCAAATACATACATTACCACATCACTATGCATCCTGCAGATAGCCAAAAAAAAACCTTGAGCTTGACCTCGTAATTGTCTTCATGACAGAACGTGCAAGAGCTCACGGAAAATTCAGTCATGATTCAGGCAAAATACGACCGTTTTTGTCCATAGTGGCTTCCAAACGCAACGGGAAATGAAAACTCCGTTCAGCTGCTTTAAAAAATGTTACACTTGAAAGTCACACTGAGTTATACCCAGAACTTCACCCCGAAAGCACTTTTTTTTTTTTTTGCATATTAAAGCTGCTGTGAGGAGTTTGCAGTTCCCAGACTGAAATGAATACTGGTGCCTGACCTACTAAAGCAAACCAAACCATCATCAGGAAGAAGGATTATTAATGTGCTGTAATTGATGTGCTTGCAAATGCTTCCCACATGTAAAGACAAATTTAGTTGTGGTGCACTGCAGAGACAGACTTAGTTAATGATTTACATGGCGAGGATTAACAGTGGGTGAAAGAAGGATGAGACGTCAGAAAACACAACTCCACTTGTACAGGACAAATTCAGGGAAGAGGAAAGAGAGGCTGTTTGGTGGACAGAGGGGCGCGGAAACTGTCAAAAACTTAACAGTTTCTCACAAAAGGGTGAAAACAATTAACTTTCAAAATAAAGAGAAAAAAGGACCATGAAAATGACAAGAAATGCTTTTTTCTTTATTGACCCTTAACAGAGATAAGGTTACAGCTCAGCACAAGCTCTAAAGCGTCCCAACTTTAACAGTCAGTCAGACAATGATACTCATAGTAAAAATGATATTAAGTGTGCATTTCATTTAACTCTTAGTGATTTGAGAAAGTGAGTACATATGTATTCATATAAACATAATCTGGACTCATTACATCAAACTAAAATGTTCCAAACATCTTCAATCCTGATTTTGAAAACCATGGTCTAATGGCTCAAAGATAAATAAGTACATGTTTCATGATATAAGAGCATTTCATTCAGAGTTTAAATTGACTGTTCCTGAAACAAAATCTATTCTGTGTATCTCGTTGTGGGGCTCAGTACACACATCCACCATCATGGAGAAAAGGATCATCTGAGGGTAAACCACGGAAGGTCACTGCTGGAAAAGCTGGCTGTTTACAGAGTGCATTATGAAGGTCTGTTAATGGAAAGTTGACTAAAAAGAAAAGTGTGGGAGGAAATTATGCACAAGCAAAGAAAGATGACAGCAACCTTAAGTGGACGAGAACTTGAGAGAGCTACACAAGAAGTGGACTGAGGCTGATGTCAGAGCATGAAGAGCAGAGGATTCATGATATTTGATTCAAAACACGTCATGATTTCATCAGCAGACAAATCTTTGGAAATGTTGATTTCCTTCCCCAGCAGGACTTAGCACCCTGCCCACAGCACCAAAACTTATACCAAGTGGTTTGCTGCTGACCTAGGGCTGAACGATTTGGGCCGAAAATAAGATCCAGATTTTTTTCTCTGAAAACTCGATTTTAGATTTCAATGTTTTATTCAGTGACAACTTCACCAAACTTCAATTTAATAATAAGTTTTTCTATCATCTCTCAAAATGAAACCACTGTAAACAATGTAGTGCATAGACCAAGCCAGTAAGTGGCTCTGTAACGCTGCACAGGAAATGCTCAAAAGACAGAAGAAGAGAACAGAGCATGTGTATAAAGGTTGTATTGGCCGGACAAGCGCAGGCGCCATAAAAGAGTTACGCTGTGTGTCACATAATCATTTCCAGAGATGCAGATAGACATCTACACGGAGATGAAATGGTAGTGGTTAACAGATTTATGCACTTGCGTACCTATTTTCAAAAAGTACCATTTACAGTCACCCAAAATGCTGTTTCCGTTTGGATGAAATGCCAATATGACAAAAAACTTTTGCGTTCCCTCCTGAGTTAGTTTCAGGATGGGGATGTGTTTGAAGAATTAATATAGCCTTTGGTCAGACTTTGCAGCAGGGAGTGGTTTGCTTTGTGAAGCTGTACCAATTCCACACGACCGACTAGCTCTTGCCCCTTTTTGCCATGAAATTATCGCCTTCTTTGCCAACGCAATGTTTGTGTACACTGGTGTGTTTTGGAACTGGGGAGTGCCCTCTCAATTTGAAGATTTTATTTTATTTTTTCCATCATCATACTTAAATAAACAGGCCTTTTGGATATTTGTCAAAAGAAAGGTGAAAAAAATGAACCTAGAAATACAGCCACTGAAGGCTGCGATCATCTTCGGCCCCACATTGAGGCAACAGTTTATGGAAGGGGAGCTCCAACCAAGGACTGAGGGTGTGAACAGATCTTTCAAAAGTTGAACATTTAGTATTGATTTGATATAAAAGGATTATTCAAAATGCTCTGGATGGAGTAGTTGGATAAAGTCTTTGAAATGATACATTCAAACACAGTGGATGGAAAGGGAGTGTTATAGACTTTATGGCTGTAACCAGATCAGCATCTGCTTTCTCCTCAGTTTTGTTTTATATAAGCTTTTTGATCAAGGGAAAAGACACGTGTAAACTGCATGATAAATTTAGATACTGCTAATCATTAGGTACTTCCATTTCCTATGCATAAAAAAAGATCTTCAGTGCCTAACAGTTAGGAAAGATAGAAGGAAAAACTTACATTGCAGTTGCAGAGGCTGTCTTAGTTCAGAGAAATGTTAAGACATTTTAAATGTTTCACCCCTCAAATAATGAATTAAATTAGCTTCTCACAGTGATTCACTGAAGCAGCTGGAAATTAAATATTCAGAAAACCCAACATCTTTCTGTGTGCGTGTTTCCCATCAACATCAATTCAAACTGTTGCTGCAGTCTTTTTAAGTGGCTCTGTTGCTAAGACACTACAAGTACAGATCAGACTTGGCTCAATCAAGCACTAAGCAATGAAATATTTAACATGCTCACTGCTGTTGCATGGCTTCTTCGTAGAAATGCTACCGCTTGGTTTTATTTTCGTCACCTCCTAAAAATCCTTTTTCCTTGAGGTTCAGTCTTTTTCTTACGAGCTGCATCCAGATGAGAGCTTGTTCCGACTGCAGAGCTCCTGAAGGATGAACCTGGGCTAAAGATCAGAGGGAATCACAGATTTTTGTTGGGGCTGCTGCTCAAACTCAAGGCCAGAAGTGATCAGATTTCTGATAGTTTTGTTAAGCATTGAAGTTAAAACTTGCACACAGGACTGTTATTTGCTCTGCAGTTAAAGGGTCAGTGCACCATGTAATTGTCTGAATTTCATGGTTGGTAGAACAGCAGCAATTATAGCCTGAATAATGCTGGTAACAACATGTACAATTATGTAGAGATGTCACTTTCTATTCAAGGCCATTCTGTTGACCCCTGTACGCAGATCTTAGAGTCCAATAGCTTTACACCTTTCATGGTTGTCAATTTTTTTTTTTTTTAGTGCGCTCTGACAGCATTTTCCTTATATAGGCTTGAAACAGAGCTACAATTATCATATAGAAGCTGGTTACTTTTATTTCTCAGAAAAGACAAGTATGACTTAGGTCACTGATATACAGAGAAACTCAGAAGATGATGCCTTCATGAAATAAAAAGTTCCTCATTAAAACTTTTAACAGCCTGAAGTTCAACCTGTGTATTTAATTTTAGCTCTCCGTGAACAGAAGAGTTTTCGTTTATTTTATTTTTCTTTCATTCCTCATGTTAAGATCACACATGCGACAAGCACCTACTAATTATCGCTCTTTAATTTTTGCTCTTGTTGGCACATGTGTAGCGTTAATGCTTAAATCTTCGTCGCTTCAGTGCAAAATCATCTAATTATGTCAGATTTGATTCATTTCACTGTGTATGTTATAAAAGAAAACTGCTCTGTGGTTATACCACAGATCCAAACCTCCAGGGGGGCTTCTTCAAGAGTGTGGGAGTGTATAATGATGCAGTGCACATGTACCAGCTTAGCCTTGACTGTTGGCTGACCCGTAATCTGCATCGTGTCCTGCCTTCTAAGGTTCAGTATAAATGCTCGGATGACGTGCAAAAATAAAGCCTATCTTAACAAGATATATGTATCCAATCAGTACAAAATTTGAGCTGAGGACAGTGGTGAGGTCGAGCAGCTAATGTGACACTTCATGCTGTCTTTGTTCCCTCAACTGCCTTAAGTGAAAATTAGGTTCTCCTGAATTACACACAGGACAGGATGTTGACCTTCTTGGCGTTGTGGTATTAAAGCTATGAAATCTTTTATTTTGAAATTTCTTGTTTCTTTTACCCAACTTTTTTTGTCCATCAGACACAATCTATTTTACTACTACTACTAATAATGATAATACTACATTGATATATTGATTTTATTCGAAGAATGCATAGATTGTGACATCTAATCAGAATAATCTGGTGCCATGTGATTCTGTGATCTCTGTGTTGGTGCACATTGAAGGGTTATGATCGTGACCTCACGGGCATCCATGTTCCTGGTTACCTGGGCTACAGTCCCACCCCTTCTAGTTAATGAGCGGTTGGCTGGGGCAGCAGTGTTAGCATCTTCTTGAACTACATGAGCTCACAGCTGGACCAGCTGGTGTTGCACTGATGATATTTTATTCAACATCATGCTCTTGAGTGCTATATTATTTCACCATTTATTAAAGCAAGATATTAATATTTCATTTGGCTTATGGTTGTCAAAGTAAAGAAATACAGTTATAGATTCTCATTCTTGGTTGGCCCTGCCACCACAGCTAGTTCTATAACAAGACTGGAACTGGGCTGTTGCCAAGCGACAAAGTCATCTTGATGAACTCTTGCACATCTCTGTAGTTCTGGACTCCAGCTTCTTTACATCATATAGATTTGTCTCCATGTTTCCATTTATCATTCAGCCAGTGAATGAAGAGTGCATTGACGGTTACTTTGGTTGCCTGTGAGCATCACACCCTCAGCCTCTGATCATCATCTCTGGAGACTTTAATCATGCATCGCTGTCCTCCACTCTCCCTACCTTCAGCCAGTATGTGGAATGCCCAACAAGAGACAATAAAACTTTGGACTTACTGTATGCAAACACCAAGGATGCATACACCTCCTCCCCCCTCCCCCTGCTGGGCCACTCAGATCACAACCATACTAATGGTGAAGAAACAACCCCCCACCATCAGATACTGAGGCGCTGCAGGACTGTTTCGAGACCACATACTGGGATGTACTGTGCAGCCCACATGGTGATGACATCGACACCATGACAGATTGTATCACAGACTATATAAACTTCTGTGCTGAGAACATCGTACCCACCAGGAAAGTAAGGTGTTTCTCCAACAGTAAACCTTGGGTGACCCTGGAACTTAAAGTCCTCCTGAAGGAGAAGATGAGGGTCTTTGAATCCGGGGACAAGGAGGAGCTGAGGAGGGTGCAGAAGGAGCTGAAGAAGAAGATCAGGGAGGGGAAGGCCAGCTACAAGACCAAGATGGAAAACCTTCTGCAACAGAACAATGCAAGGGAGGTCTGGAGAGGCCTGAAATCCATCTCAGGTCATAGCAGGGGCCATGAGAGGGGACCTGAAGCAGGAGACAGCGAGTGGGCCAACGAGCTGAATCTGTTCTTCAATAGATTTGACTCTGCTCCCACTCCTCCCCCGATTCATCAAACCAACGACCCGTCTGCTGCTTCTTCTTCACACCACCCCAGTTCCATGGCACCGGCATCATCAACCCGCCTCCACTCATCCTCCACCACCCCCTCCAGCACCACCCCCAGCCTCTCCGTAACAGCTGACCAGGTGAGAAGTGAGCTGAGGAAGATGAAGCCAAGGAAAGCCACGGGTCCTGATGGCATCAGCTCCAGACTCCTGAAGGACTGTGCAGACCAGCTCTGTGAGGTGCTACTGCACATCTTCAGCTTGAGCCTGAGTCTGGAGAGGGTCCCAGCACTGTGGAAGACTTCCTGCGTGATTCCTGTCCCCAAGACAGCGCACTCCAGGGAGCCCAACCACTTCAGACCTGTGGCCCTCACTCCTCACCTGATGAAGACTCTGGAGAGAATCGTGCTGAGGAACCTCTGCCTCCTGGTGAGCTCTCATCTGGATCCTCTGCAGTTTGCTTACCAGCCGAACATCGGGGTGGACGACGCAGTCATCTACCTGCTGCAGAGGTCCATGGCTCACTTGGAGAACAGCACTGTGAGGGTCATGTTTTTTGACTTCTCCAGTGCTTTCAACACCATCCAGCCTTCACTGCTCAGGGGGAAGCTCTTGAGGGTGGGAGTGGACTGTCACCTAGCCGCATGGACCGTGGACTACCTCACAGACAGACCACAGTTTGTGAGGCTTCAGAACTGTGTATCGGACATGGTGGTCTGCAGCACGGGGGCTCCACAGGGGACAGTGCTCTCCCCCTTCCTCTTCACCCTGTACTCCTCGGACTTCAGCTACAACTCTGGGAGCTGTCACCTCCAGAAGTTCTCTGATGACACAGCCATCGTTGGATGTGAATCGTCAGGGGATGAGCGGGAATACAGGACTGTCATCACTGACTTTGTCAACTGGTGTGGCACAAACCACCTCCAGCTCAACGCCAGTAAGACAAAGGAGAAGGTCATGGATTTCAGCAGGAGGAGGACACCTCAGACTGTTCCAGTGAACATCCAGGGTCTGGACATCGAGGTGGTGAAGTCCTATAGATTCCTGGGTGTCCACCTCAACAATAAACTGGACTGGTCAATCAACATAGACGTCCTGTACAAGAAGGGCCAAAGTCGTCTCCACCTGCTGAGGAGACTGAGGTCCTTTGGAGTGTGCAGGACTCTGCTCAAGACTTTCTATGACTCTGTGGTAGCATCTGCACTTTTCTATGCAGTGGTCTGCTGGGGGGCAGGGAGCACCGAGAGGGACAGAGAGAGACTGAACAGACTGGTCAGGAGGGCCAGTTCTGTCCTGGACTGCTCTTTGGACTCCCTGGAGGAGTTGGGTGAGAGGAGGATGTTAACAAAGCTTGTATCCATCATGGACAATCCCTCTCACCCTCTGCACCAGACTGCTGGGGCCTTAAGCAGCTCCTTCAGCAGCAGACTGAGACTCCCACCTTGCAAGACGGAGCGCTACCGCAGGTCATTCCTCCCTTCTGCACTTTACAATGAACTGTAATAAAACTGGACTCACACCACCACTTTTTTTTCTGGCATTTAAATTGTGTATATTGTAAATAGTCTTATTTTTCTTCTAACTTTTTTTTTCCTAAATTTTTTTCTTAATTATTACATTTATTTAAGTTCTTAATATTATGATCTTTATTTTTATAACTGCATTTTTGCACTCTTTGTCTGTGATGCTGCTGTGACAAAAGGATTTCCCCCATGGGGGATCAATAAAGGAATACTCTATTCTTCTTCTATTCTGTTGATTGATCGGTCTGGAGATACAGACTGTTTGTAGTTACTTTAACTGATGGTTTATAGAACACTCAGTATAAAGTGATTTCAATCAGAGGTGTTAACATAAGGACAAACTGTGAGCCAGAACTAGATCTTACTGCTGGAACAATCAAGTGTTGTCACCGTCAACTGCAATCTCTGTCAGCAAAAAAGAAGGGGAAATAATTACAATGTGAGTCAGAGGTGACGATTGCAGGCTCATGTTTCACTGACACAGAAGTGACTGTGTTTGAAAACTATTACAAAAGAATGAGAGCAACAACTGAAGCATTTATTCTGCATCCAAGCCTGTTATTGTATGATATGGGTAATTAAGGCTTCTTTTTATTCAGACTTTCTCTTCTCTCTGTACTCCACACTCCCTCCATTCCTTGTGCTCACGCTCAGTACTTTCTGCTCCTCTGACTTTTGTGTTTGCTATGCCAGTGTGGTCTGAAATCTATGAATGCTACAGTAAGCTATAAACGTCTCTTCTGAACGGGAATGAGAGGCAGATCCTAGTAGGTTTTTAGGAAATCAGGCGAGGAGGCGGGGAGGTTGAGATGTGGGAAAAGTGATTGTGGGGGTAAAAAAGAAAAAGCACAAGCAAAGTTTTGTGAAAAAATGCTGCACCTCCCTCTCAGTTAGATTTTAGAGGGCTGTGCTTTGCCTCCTGCTGCTGCTGCTGCCTTGCAGTCTGTCGAATGTGCGTTGAATGCAGGAGAGAGTTTGACAGTGAGTTGAATAGAAATCTGACTTTGGTGTACAACTATACTGAATATACAGCTGTGATGTATAATTAGATGTTCCTATCAACTTTATTCCACTTAAAAGAGTCGACTCTTCTTCTCTTGTGCGTCTCGTATTTTGCTGTGCTGACATGCTCTCCTGCTGTGCCTCTCTTGTTTGAATGCAGCACATGAACATCTCTGACTACTTCACCTTCCCCTTTAGCTTTAATTACCTTTTCTTCAGCCATGTCGGATAGGCAATTACCCCATGATTTCTCATTTCCCACATACAGCATCATGTGTGTTTCCGTGCCTGTGGTGCATGCACGAATGTCAGGGGCTGTGTATTTTGAGGTGTGGCTACATGCTGCTGAACGGTCACTGCCTTATTGGAATTGGAAACATTACCCTTCAGGAGACTGTGCGTGTTTGATGTCACCCAGAGAGAGCTGACTGGTTTGCATTCGCAGACATGTTAATGGATTTGTGTTTTTGTTAAAACACCACAAAGATACTCGATCAGAGATATGGAGACAGATTGATACACTGCCAAGACACCCAGCTGCTGCTGGGTTTATTTCTGTGGATCCCCAAAGTTCAATAAGTTCATGACCGAAAGTATTTGAAGTTTGCAGTGATTTGGAAGTGAAATGTAGGAAAATGAAAATGACTTTGTCACTTGGAAATTTTAAGAGGTGCTTACTGTAAATATTTTCTAGATTTTCTTTGACTGTATTTATGATTAGAGTGAAATTTCCGGTGATATAACGGAAATCTAATCAAGTTGGTTTCTTGTAATTTAGTGACCGAGCATCGATAGTGCTTGTCTGGAACCTAAAATATCTCACACCGCTTGGTTTTAACATATACTTGTTTTCTATCAAGTGTTTCATTTTTGGAAATATCTTTATGTAGTTCTGGTATATGTTATGTCATCTGCGGTGGTACTAACAAACAAGTAAAGTTGAATTTATGGCTATATGAGAACTAAATACAAAGGGGGAGTGTTCCTGCTGTGACCCTCACTACTTCCGACAACCAAACAATACTATTCTTAAGAATCTAAACCTGAAAAAAACACCAAAGACTGTGACTCTGTTTATTTTTCATGTAGTCAATTAAAAGCTGACAGAAGGAAACCCATAATTTAACTGTGTCAGACAGACAATTTATTGTCGTGGTCCAATTAAGACTTTTGCCACGCAATAATCTTTTGTAATTTGATGTTCACTTACTTTGATTCGTTCTGGTCTCTTGATAATTAGACTGCTTGTTTTGTTTCATTTTCCATTTATGTGTTCATTGTTCTCATCAAAACACTAAAACCAGGTTTTTGCATTTGTTAACCTGGATGGCCTCAATCTCAGAACCCATCAGCTGTTCTCTAACCTCAGTCTGGGCAACTTTTCAGGGCTCCCAATGGAGTTAAAGGTTTGTAATAAAGACCTTCCTGCTAGGACTCCTTTTCTATGTGCTGCCTTTGATTACAGTCAAGGTAACCACTTGAGAGGTAAGAATGCAGCTCCAGCTTGGGGGTAGCTTGGTTGTTAGCTGTACTTGTACATAGATGTTATGGTGTCTGAATGTCAATTTTTTATTCAGCAAACATTAACTCAACTTTAATCTGCTTCCTTATTTTATTTATTTACATTTTTCTCATTGGTGTTGGTGCAACAAAAGCAAGGATCAAGGCACAACTTGATTAAGTGTATTAAAAAGGCGCTGACAGCCAGCTTCAGAGCTTCAACATGTTTGGAGTATATGTTTAAAGAGATTGTCACCAACATCAGCTACATCCTATAAATCATCATCAACATTACACCCATTAATAACATTAAATCAAATGGGAAACATCTGTTTAGGGGTATTAATTAAAGCTAAATGTTCATCAAATGATTGCCTGTGGGCTCCAGGATTACATTAAGGAGGATTAGGTTTCCCCACATCTGCTCTTCACATTGACAGTTTTCCTGCTGGAGCCAATGTTTGCTGAACTGCAGAAATCTATATGCCACAGACCTGATTTTGGTTGAATTGTACCAACATGTTGTCAATTACAATTTGATTCCTACCTCGTGAATAGATTTGAATCCTTCTTCATCAGATTGTTAATATCTGAACCAGATGTGCTATAAAACTCACTTTCTCATTTCTAGGCAATCCAAGAAATCATGAGAACCTCAAGAGAATTTCAAAATTTAGACCAGATTTGATTGAAATCAATCAGGTTTATAACTGATAGAACTTTAAAGTTAAATCTAAGTATTTTACCTCAAAGCAGAGTGAGAGAAACAGTCAGAAGACCACCGAAGAACTTGAATTTCCTTCTCTGAAAACCTACAAACTCTTCACTTCACTCTCATCACCAACATCCTCTTTAGAATCAGCTGATTGTATGTACACTTTAATTTTGTGAGAAGAAGCTCTCATGAATAATCTGATGTACACTAACACATCAGATTATTCATCACTCTCTCATACATCGCTCAAGTCCGTTCACCACTTGAGCACGTAGAGGAGGTCAGACTGTAACTCAGTCGCTGCATGTAGTAGATGACATTTTCTCCTTGTCTTTTCATACGTTCCCAATCTTTCTTTTTTTCTTTTCATCGGATTTATGAATTTCTGTCTTTGGCACTCTTGTGAGATTTTTTTTTCCTACTCTTATCAGCAGATGGCTGCTTCTTTCTCACTCCAGAGATATCGTTTTGTTTTGGTTCAGGGGGTTTGATCTTTGTAGTTTGTATTCTCTTCTCTTCGTGTCTGACAAGGTGTGCACACATCAACACTTGCAACAAGAGCTGGAAAACCTGCCACAAGAGTTTGTTGCTCTGTTGACATGTTAACTTGAAATAGTTCACGTTGTTTCTTTTATCTACCTTTCTGTAAGTTTGCAGCTGTTTTGTCCTTGATTGCCTGAGATCGAGGGAGATCATTGCTGGTACAGCTCCTATTCAGGTGTATGATGAAAGTCCCATTCTAATTGTTTTTTTGTTGTTTTTTTTTTTTTTTTTACTACTTAAAGTGTCCTCAGTGGTCTTTAAATTGTAATTATGACGTCAAAATCAAGTAACCTGTGTCATTTTCAAGGGCTTTTTTTCTGCAGAGCTCCAGTAGCTCATTAGCAATTCACCTCTGAGTCGTGGGCGGAGACAGCGCTGCTCTGCACACTCCTCTTCGTGCTAGCTTGTAGCCTAACATTGTCGGTGTAGTAGAAGTAGCAGGTAACAAAGGAGCTGTTCAACTCTTGGACAGTAATGTCTTTAGGGACATGATGAAAGTTAGTATCATAATGAGCTTTTTTACAAGCATTGCCATCCGCTAACACACATGCGTGTTCCATGTTCGTCCTCTCTATTTCTCCGAGTTTGGCCTGCATAGTGGGGCTCCGGGGGCGAAGCTTGGATTTGCTATGTAGGAAATCTCACTGTTTTTGAAATTGCAGTTTGAGTCTGCCAGAAATTTACAGCCATTTGAAGGCAGACATACTCAGAAATGCAATTTTGCATTTAGTTTTCTCATGATATGTCCTGTAGCATCAGAAAAATGCCACATGAACATGTAGACAACAAGAAAAACATGATTTTCATCGGAGTAGGTCTTCAACCCATTGTGCTAATTAAGTGTACATAAACACCTATACACCAGGGAAAAGAAATTGTGCATTTGTCTTGTCATTAAGTCTGTACTTATGAGTTTTATCAGCCTTGCCTACTCATTTGAAATGAGTAAAATGCAGACACTGTTGAGATATAAACACTAACATATAAAAAAAGTGTGAAAGCCAAGAACATTTACAGCTGAACAGGTGTGTTTGAAGACTGAATAATTAAAGCACATCTGGTTTCACCCTGTAGAAAGTAAAGTTTTGTTTCATTTGATATCATTGTGAAAATAACAGCTGATGTAAAAAGCCTCCAGCTCATGTTGCACAAGCAGACCTTTACCAGACCTTTACCAGCAAACGTAGGTCCCTAATCGTGGTTGGAAAGTGTCTGCCGACAGTCCCTTTGAAGGCTGTTTCAAGTTTTGACAGTGTGTATGACTCAGATCAGAACAGAGAAGATTATTGCATCAAATGGTTATACAACTCCAGTGTTGCAAAAAAAGGAGGCAGTAGGGAGAGAGAGAGAGTGAGAGAGAGCAAGAGAGAGAGAGAGAAAAGGAGAGGGAGAATGTCAGAGAGAAAAAGAGAGAGTGTGTATGTCATTTTGGCAGCTGCTGCCAGATTTTTGTGAACCCTTGCTGCCAGCTACAGCTATTACCAAGGGCCCATGTCATACTTCTGACTGATCATTATGAGGCCCAGCTATCCTCCTCTGCATGCTGTGGCTACCCATCTCTGTCAAATCATGATTAATAATGCAGCAGTTAGAAAAGCCATGATCTTCCATTACTACATGCATGCATGCATATGCATGCACACTGAGCAGTGGAAAGTTTAATAGGTAATTAATCTGTGGGTAATTGCTCTAGCTGTCATGGGCATTAGGAGTTCTCCAGCCTGTCTTGTTAATGGTTTGAAAAATATAAGTCTGTATTATTCAGGTCTACCTCTTTTATCTTCTTTATATCGTTCTTTTTTTCCAGCATGGGTTGACTTTAATGGGTGTTTAATTGTGTGACTATTTAGTATTTTTATAAGCCCACAGATGGCTCAAGCTTTTTTTATGCATCATATAACATAGAACGACATGTGGAAAAACTTTTTATTTCCAAAATATCGTCTCACATTTTGATTGATACTTCAACTTGTAATAATTTCTCATGCCATATAATTTGCCAGCGGTTCTGTCCTCAGCCTAAAATATCTACAAACTTACCTGTCTGCAGTCAGTTTAATGATTATAATATGAAGCTATGTCAGGAGGCAATTGGGAACTTTAGTGTACCTGATCTCATTAATTATTGCTCCTAGTTCATAAAGCTCATCTGGCCCAAACCATTGATTGTTATCGAAATAATCACTTTATTGTTTAAGCTGTTTTATGGGGTTTAATGCACCATGTAATCACCCAGACGGTTTCAGAGGGCCTCACTGCTCTGTTTTCAGTTTGAGCAGGCCAGTGATGAAGCCGAGACTCAGACTATGAGAAGATGATAGGCGGCTCAGAAGATCACAAAAGTATGTTACGCCGTATTTTGTAAAGACTCTCACAGTTGCAGTATCATTACGAAGGCTTTAGGCAGCTGCTGAAGCGTGCCGTATAATCCTCACCTTTAATTACAGAAAGTGTTTAATTGGGAGGAAAAACATGGATCTTTAAGTGTGTAGTTTATTCATCAAAGAGGACAACCACCATCCACAATCAGGTCTACAAATGTCTCCCCTTGACCTCCCCTCCTGTGCCTGTAGCTGGACCTGTACTATTGTTATTACCATTACTATATATGGCTCATGTGCTGTAAAAGCTGATTCATGAGGAAAACAACTCAACTTTATTAACTGAACATTCAGCTGATGAAGGGGCAGAAAGACAAACAGAAAAGAGAAAAGAGGGATGAGGAAGCACGGGTAGGAACTAAGAAGGGTAAAATGATCACATTAAGGAAGCTAGTTATACACAGCACACCCACTGCTGGCAATGTTTGCAGTCCAACAGCTCCTGTAAGAATAAAAATAAAGATGCAAAGTAAAAAGTTAAAGGCCTCAGAACAAATGCTCACAGTTGAACAACAACAGCCTACTGATGCATACAGTTTGAATCGCTTTGGATGGAGACTTGACAGATTCAGATCTTAAATACACAGAGTGTTGTGTTTTTTTTACTGTGAAGCTGTTGGAAATACACAGTATTACTATGCAGAAACCATACCAAATAAAAATACTATGTACAGCTACATCCCACAGTGTTGATTTCACTGAATAACTTTTTTGAAGGCTACTGTTATTAATGCCGTAATTTAGATGATACTTTGGATGATCAAGTTTCAGACATTTCAAGGTTCCTTCATTGTTAACAAACATCCTAATATCTATTTTGTTTTAATTTCCAGTTTGCAAGTTTTTCAATTTGAGTAAAAGCTGGACCAAAATAAGGTTGTGTATTTTTGCTCAGTTTTAGCCTGAACATGCTCTCTCTAACTGTTTCAGATATAAATAACTATCTATAATTTTTAACACTGTGGGGGAACAGGCCTTGTCAAACTGTAAGCGTAGGTTTTACTCCACAGCCAGCTGACTTGGATATCTAAACTTTGATGTTGGATTTCTCTCCTCTGCTCTCCAGGATGATACAACCCCCTGTTTCAACCTTTCACTTAGCAGCCGATGAGACAGCAGCAGTGCTCTGCTGCTCTCTCTTTGGCAACTCTCCAGATGTTTTTAAACCTACACTAAATGTAGTTTGTGCTTAACAAAGTTGTACTGCTGACCGGGGGGTTAAGCAATAGATCTGCTTCATACTTCCCTCACAGCCTGCTTCTTTTGTGCTTGTACACCTACTGGAGTTTGATGCAGTGATGTGGATGGAAGTTTGACGGTAAACTTTAGCACTGTTGACCAGATTACTTTGCAGTAAAAGAAGTCTTCCTTATAGTATTAATTTTTGTGTTCTGAAATTACTAATCAAAGTATTTATAGAGTTCAGTCACATTTTTTCAAATGGAACCATCAGAATTTTTGCTTTTCTTCTCAACTACCTAAGTTACATGTATTAAGTGTAATGAACATGCACTTTATTTTAGCTTTTGCTCAGCTGAAGTGAGCTAGCAGAGAATTGTTATTTAGCCACAGACTCTAGACCCAGGGTCCACATCCAGACCACGGACCACCTCTTTGTGGACCCAGAGCAAAAAAAGAAAATCAACCACACAGCACGGCACTCTCTCTAACTGACTGACACGAGGTTAGACTGGCCGAGAGACAGAGAGAGAGAGAGAGTATGTATGTGTGTGACTGTGCGCGTGCTCACACTTGCATTATGGGCTGCCATTCCCATGACAATGATGCGCTGATTGGCTGATAACTACGTAAACCGGCAGTCACACATCTTCCTTATTCAGTCCGTCTTCTCTGCACGGCGCTGGCAGCGGTAACGTCTTTGCAGCAGCAGTGTTGCTCACACCCAGCACCCAACATCAAAACGGCAAAGGTGGACACTGAAAATCGCTGATTCACAAATATATGATTATCTTACCTCCTTCAGGCACAAAGCCAATGTGTCTTTTGTGCAAAGCACTGTTGCTCTGATAAGTGAAACTTTAAATGCCATTATGAGAACCTGTCCATGCAGATTCTCATTCATCCAGGTCATGGTTTTCTGAGGAGCAGATATTTATCTTATCGGAGAAGGGGACTGACAACGACTAGGAGGAGTTGGAAAGAACTGGTCATAGAAACCCATCTCCGGGTGTTCCCCCCCAAGTCGTTAACCTGAAAGGGTTGTTAACAAGCCCTGTCATGTGACCACATGACTCATGCCACCTGGGTCTTGTGGTCCCAGGTGTGAATGCACATGTAACCAAGGTATAACACTGAACACGAAAGGGAGGAGAGACGCAAGAGCACTGTAATCACTTACGTTGCAGGCCTGTTGGAAAAACTCAAGAGGACCTTTGGCAAACACCATATTCCTGTTTATTTTAAGCCTGGTAACACACTAAGGCAGAAGCTTAGAAGCAAGACATAAACAGTAATGTGGTGTATGCTGTCCAGTGCAGTGAGGAATGCTCGGACCTGTACATTGGGGAAACTAAACAACCACTTCACAAGCGCATGGCTCAACACAGGAAAGCCACTTCCTCAGGTCAGGACTCAGCTGTCCACCTTCACTTGAAGGATACGGGTCACTCTTTTGAGGACAGCGATGTACAGGTGTTGGCTAGAGAAGACAGATGGTTTGAAAGAGGAGTTAAAGAAGCCATCTTTCCCAGACTGGAGAAACCTTCTCTGAACAGAGGGGGTGGACTCTGGCACAATCTCTCCGGCACTTACAATGCAGTTCTCAGCTCTCTCCCCAGGAAGCTCCACAAACAGTTACGCCATTATGAGAAGCGATTTTGATAGAGATTGCCCCCCAAAATCTGAGCAACAAACAGATAAAATAAAAAGCTTATTTTATTTTATTGAGTCATTCTAAGTAAGAAAGAATATCAGTGTGATGCTGAAAATGAATGTTTTTGTGCCTTCCAATAACTCCTTTCTTTTCACCACCACGCTGTGGACCTATGACTTCCTCAAAATTTATTTTCTGGACCTTTTACATTTCTAATTGAGAACCCCTTCTCTAGACAAACCAGGTGTAGGTACCAGATGTGTTTGGGCTGCCAGATTGGCTCGGGGCCCAGCGCCTGTGGAAGACGTCACACTACGGCAAGTCCACTCGAACAAACTACATTGCGCTCCATTAAATAAGTCAAATGTGCTCAATTAAACGCCTCTTGCAGTTTTCTTTAGCTCCGTTTGTTCTATCAATTGACCTCTAAATTTTCTCTTCACATAATACAGAGAATTACAACTTCCTCTACTGTAATTTTTAGTTATTTATGTTTTTAATTATATATGTTAACTTTTCTAAAGGAAAAAGAAAAAATGTGTGCAGGATCTCCATTTATCATTAGAAAGTTTTGCCTTTATTCCACATTTCCTTTGGCAACGTAAAAGAGGCAGTAGTTCGGCTGTTGTAAGGCCCCTTTGATAAGTAGAGAGAGATTGCATTGTCAATGTTTTCTCTGAAGCTCTACAATTCCATGAAACCTAATCTGGAAAAAACGCTCACATAATGTCTGGTCATGCCACAATCTCCTATGCCATCCAAACCAACTTCTAGCCAATCAAGTAGCATCGCGCCATCAATAGGTGCCAGACCCCGAGCTGATCTGGCAGCCTGAACACATCTGGTACCTACACAGGCACTCGAAAACACCCAATAACATGTTTGCTAATGTGAGTGTGAAGTTAGTGTTTATCTGTAACCTTTTTCAATCAGTGTATGCATTAATTGAAATGCATAAACACGTTTTTGCTGCTTGCATTTTCATTTCTTCATTATTGTCACCCTGCAGGACACATTTTTAGTTCATACTCTACATTCGTGTGATATTACTGGATTTACTGTAGTTTTGTCATCAGACCATTAAGCATTAATGGTTGTTAGGGGTCAAAGTGTGATGACAGAGAATTCACTTTACTATAGGTATGTAGATACAAAGATGGCTGTCACAAACAGGTAAAACAACATGAGGAAAATGCAGACGTAGGTGGCAATTTTGCTCAGCAGGGCGTGAATAACCTCAGGCAACCTTTCTCTTTTTGTGGCAAACACTGCATACAATCATCACTTCACTCAACAGCTCAGGGTTCCTGTCTGTGTAGTTGTAAAGACTGAGTCAAGGACTGCTACCAGGTGAAGTACCTCGGTATGTATTTGATAGACCTATATTTAAAGAGTATTTAAAGCTCCTGTGAGGAGTTTTTAGATGGTTATAAAACAAACTAAAATGAATGGTAATGCCACATACAAAAGCAAAATTGAGGTTTTGATCAGGATCAGTACTTACAGGACGACGTCAGCACAGGGAAAGTAAGTACTGCTTTTCCCACAGGGGTCTGTGCGTTGAAATGAATTGAAACCCTCTCACAGGGGGTGACAAAACTGCAAAAACAGCAGTTCTTCAGTTTCTTGAGCAGTCACACATGAGAGTATTAGCACAGAGACAGCATCCGTTATCCGTTACACCTCTTTAAAACCAGACAGGTGATGTCACTAAGACTACTTCAATGTCTACATGCTTTGGCTTTAAATTTGCCAAATGTTTCATGGCTGCTTAGTTGCTTAAGTCTTAAATTGGCTTTTCTGTCTTTTTTAAATTCGTTTTTATGCTGACTATGAGAGTTTCATACCTTTAATGCTGTTTTGTGTCCTTTGATTTTTGAAATAATCCCATCCTCCCTACATAACATTCACTAACAAAGCTGTTTAAATTTGGATCAGTCCGTGGAAACACAGTTTACACCCCCTGTGTGGACACCAAACCTGTCGGATCTTAAATACACACCCTTGTAAGCTCTGCCTCCCTGAGCAGTCCCTGCACTACATTTGCTCTCAGCAGGTGGAGCGTGTTGAGATGAGACTCTGGGGGGATCGGGGTGTATCTGAGCGACTGCGGGGCATCAGTCACACTGTCGAATCGGCAGCTCCTTCCCTTCCTATCGGGCGCCTCCAGCCTGTCAAGGTGTCTGTGCTCCTAATGCCTGACTGTAAATCCAGCTCTTTGGGCCGCAGACGTGGTGGGGAAAAGGCTCGCCAAAGATCATTTTCTCTCTGACAGGGCTGCTGTGTGGGAGGATTTTTGCAGTTTGTTGTAAGGTAACAGCAAAGAAGAAAGCTCAGGCTGGCAACAGTGCCAACTCTGATGAGCAGTAAAGAAGGGGAAATACTCGGAGTATGCAGCCATTTATTTTTGTGTGCATCCCACCACTATGCCACCTCATCACTGCCTCGATATACGCAACTGTATTTGGGGCACAAACATTTAGAAAACATCAGAAGTTGTGAACGATACTAAGGATGATAGGATGGATCATTTTAATGTTGAACATTCTTAACCAACAGCTGCCCACTTTGTTTTTAATACAGAG